GCACCCGAGGGCCAAGGGAAGTTGTACCTTTCTGTATCGCAACTCAAGCCATTGTGGTTCATATCAGACTTCATTTATTAGATTTTTATCCCATTATCCTTTACAATTTAAGGCAACAAACATACCTGGTATTCCTTCCTCCTCCTGTTTTTCCCACAACAACCCTGGGAGATGGATTGAGCTGAGGCAGCACTAGAACTCGAGTCCCCCAGTTTCTAGCTTGGTGCCCTCACCACTAGGCCAGACTATGCTTTAATACTTATGCATCAGCACAATTTAGGATATCCCCTAATTTTGGTTTACTCAACCACCAGTGGTTATTCCTCTCAGTGATATGAGTGCAGCCAGAAAACAATCTAAAATGAACGTAGATTTTGTTGTTTTATTTACAATAAGGAGACATTGGTATGAAAAAGGAGACTGCTTGCCCCACACATCCATGTTTTCCCTCAAGTTGTTAGCAGGTGTTTCAGAGTAAAATGAAATCACCTTTCCCAGTTTGAAAAAAAACAAAACTATTTGGGCTCTGAAGAATGAAAGCTTCTAGCAGACAATCTGTCTTAATCTTTAACAAATGGAAAATTAAATAAAGTTTATTTTTTTTAAAAAAAGAGCCAAATACATAAGACAAAACAATTCAACCAGAAGATGGCAGCAAGTAGAGAGGACTTGACTTCGGTGGATTTTATGCATGATGAATTGGCAGCAGCTGTTTTCGCCAGCAGTGCTGCTGGTGTGAAGGCTGCTGCAAGAAAGAGCTGGGCTTGTGCTTATTCAGTCTCTTGGGAAGGGAGGGAGGAAGGAAGGAGAAAAGTTCCTGGAAGATTCATCCTGGAGGACCACTAGTAGTCCTGTGGGCACAAGGGCAGAGTGAACATCACTGGGGATGCCAGCACCAACTGTAGACACACCGCTTCCCACCCAAAGGAGCTGAGAGGGACTAGCACCACAAGGTGCCTGCTGGAGTACAGCAGGACCAAACCTGGAAAACCCTGGTCCAAATTCCGATCACTCCCCGCCCCCCACAATGCTGTCCTTCAACCATCCAAAGCAGAGGCTTCAAGAAGGACATTCTTCTCCCCTTTAAGCAAGCTTCACCACAACCCTACCCAGAACTGTGCAGTAACTGAAAGGTGGCAGGACATTGGGAAGAAAAAGAGAAGGGATACTTACAGCTCGTGGTTTTTTGTTCAACTTGAGATCAATCCTGCAATGGGAGGAAGGAAGAAGTGAGTGTTGGCCTACTGATGGCTAAGGCAGTCCCTGTGTGGGCTACAGCAGCAAAGGGTCTGATATGACCAGGCCATTGTAGCATTTCCAACCCAACTCCCAATGGCACCGAAAAGCAGATTCCACCCAACAATCAGAAGAAACACATTAAAGGGTTAGGCAGCATCCAAAGAACATGGGAACACAGCATCTGCTGGGTTAGCATGTTAAAGACAGAACTTAGAGGCAGAGGCGGCAGCAGAGGAGGAAATGGTAGCCAGAGTATTTAGTGGCACCAGTAAGAATCAATTTGTATTTTCTGCATTTGGGAAAACTGCCTTAACTGTAGGCCTCAGAAAGCAAAGCAATAAAAATCAATTTTCAGAGTTCAGTAGAAGTTTATCTGCTTTTCAAAATGACATAAAGAAGCAAAGAGGGTAGCCGAATGATTTTTTTTTTTAGCCAAGATTATTAAATAAAAAGTTACCTCCATTGTGCTTTTGTCTGTATTTTTAAAAACTTGCCAGCCTAACCTAATATACATACCTACAATTAAACAGATAAACTATGGATTAGAAGAGTTTTGAAAGCGCACGAGGGGACGTTGAAGGAGGGTGGCGAAGGGAAAAAGAAAAGTCTACACATGGACATCACAGCACAAAAACTAAGTCAAATCAAGTCAAACTTACTCAAAGTCATAATCAAACATGCCAGACGGGCTGAGGGGCAGCATTCGAAAAGAAGAAAGCAATAGAAATTAATATACTAAGGAATTAAATCAATTAGTTGATTAGCCACCCTAGCGAAGTTCAAAAATAACAAAGAGCAAGTTATACATCACTGTAATCTTGAAATATAAAATCCACCCGAGACCGCCCCCACTCCCCCAGAAGTCTGCTACCCCAAATAATCTTATAACACTGCAGGGACAAATATCAGCAACCTTGGAAAGAAAAGCAAGGTGGGAACCTCCCACCATGCTTGAAAGGAGTACAGCAAACAGCCCAATCGGTAAAGAATGGGCAAGATTCGGGCTGGACTTCCTGGAAGGAAATGGAAATGGAAGAGATTTTCCCCTGCTGCCTGGCTTAGTGCCCAGTCTTGAGAAGGCAGAATTGGGGAGAATGCTGGGCCAGGGGCATTAGCCAAGAGAGGGACTTTTTTTTTTTACTTTCCAGGGTAGCTCTGGGTGCTGAGAAGACACTATTCCTCAAGTCCAGCCCAACCTACGTCTCCACACTTTCTCCCAGCCTGTGAACAGGAAGATCTGACGTCTTTCAGAACATAATCTCCAAGCTTGACCTTTTTGTCTATTGGTACTTTCCTGCCTTGAAGAAGGCCAATATCCATTAATTGGAAGATTTCCAATTCTCAATAAGGAATGCCTCACTACACAAAAAGGGTTATCATCAGGCACTTGCAACTTAAACAAAACACATAGAATAACAACAGTCCCATTTCTCCTCTTTGTACCTTCACTTTCATTCCCTTCTCTACTGTCATTTTCAAGACTACATGAGCCACTTCCTTGCAATAAGCACAGAGAAAGTTCTTGGCTATAGCAGTAAAATGTCATTTCTGGGTTAACCTGCCAATCTAAATTGGCTATGTCTTTAAGAGAAGACGGGGTGTCTTTCTTTGAGTCCCTGGAAAACAGCTGCTGGTTTATGAACCTCCTTGGGGCAGAAGACCAGGACTGGTCTCTGAGGCTTTTCCAACCGAACCCCAAGAGAGTCCCTCAGCTGGGGATCAGCTGCCAGATTCAAAGGCCCACTTGGCCACTGAACTCATGGGGCGAACTCTGGCCCTCGTGGACCTTGTCTGTGGGGCAACAAGACAGGAATGTTAAACTGGGACTGTTCAAGAGAACAGTGTCAGGGAGGCCCTTCCTTCTCCAGAGGTTCAGGTGGGCCCAGCCCGCTCAGGGTCTCCAGTCTGCTGCTGGCTCACCTGTGCCGGTTTTTATTCTTCCGCTTTTTGTGGCTACTGTGGTGGCTCCCTGAGGCGGAAGAGGCCGCTTTCTGGGGCTTCACCCCCTGAACGGACCCATCCAGCTCTTCCACCTCTTCCTGGCTTGGCTCGTTCTCTTGGTTGTGGAAATCCGGGGACGTGTCACTCTCAGTGCCGCTGCCGGGCTCACCTGGAGGGAGAAAGGCAGGATGCCCCAGCTCGGCTACCCAGAGCCCCGGGGAAAGGGCCAAGGGGAGCTGGGAGGGAGGGACGGGCAGGGGACTTACGCTTCTCAATCAATTGGTCCTGAACTCCAGCCAGGGCGCTGACTGCCTGGGGGGCAGAAGAGAGAGTTAGTT